CCCCAAAGAAGGCCAAAATATGTAAAAAATCTCATTAATGAGAACTTAATTCTGCTAACTCATGCTAGGAATAGTGTTCCATTCTACTTGAAAAAATAATTTATTAACTCACATAGTTATTATCTTTTAGTAGGTTTTTAATCTGTTTAAATGATCATTTGAATCATCTAAAATATATTTTTGGGGGGGAGGAAGGAAACGCATCATGCTTTGGGTTTTTTTTTTTTAATAAAATTACATCAAAGATGTAATGCAAAAGAAAGTTTGTTAGTTAAAATAGTGTTGGTAACACAGAGTTAATTTTGATTATTTGTTTGTTTATGCATCCTTTAGTGGATCCTAACTTGTCTTGGGTGTGGTATAGTACCTGGGCTAAAGAACATGGTTCAGCTTTCTACATTGAAGGGATTAAGGCTGCTCCTTGGTTTCCATCCCAGTAGCCTGAGTAATGTTCCCTGGAAGAGTATATACTACTGCCTGGTTATAGGGGAGGAAACGTTGGAGAACTGTAATTGATGCTCTTTGGGTGGTTATGATTCCTCCTCCCCAACCATCCTCGGTTCTAGGGGGAGACTCCTGCAGTTGCTGGTCCGAGGTGCTTTCAGTTTTAACTTTTTATGACAAATTTAAGATAGAAGGGATTTTTTTTTTTTTGTCTTAGTAAGTACCAGACTCTTTTTTGGTCTGTGAGAAACTATCTAAATTGATGTTTATAAAATTTTACATAATACTTTTTTGGTTTACTAGGAAATGGCCATCCATCCTTCATGAGAAAGGATAAGAAAGGATGCCAAACATTTAATGACAAATAAAACCCAAAGTAACAGATTCCAGACAGAAAATTCTAAGTGGATAAGAGCCAAAAATGCCTCATTGTAAACTCAGTATCCACTTACACTCTTACCAACAGTATAACCATTTCACAAGAGCTTTAAATTCCTCTTTTTAAGAAAAACTGTCTAGAACAAGGGCCAGCAAACTTTCTCTTAAAGAGCCAGATAGTAAATGTTTTAGGTGTTGCAGGCCAAGTCAAGATTGAAGGCCTTATGTAGGGATCTGTATAACTATTAAAATGTAACCATTAAAAATATAAAAACCATTCTTATCTTCTGCACCAGACCAAAACAAATAAACAAACCAGACAAACTAAGCTAGATTTGATCCATAGCCTGTCATTTGCTGAGCTCTGATCTAGACCATGACAAATGTGGAAAAGCAAATGAGACCCCTGAATCTATTTCAAAGCCTATTTCATTCCTTTTCCTTTCAATGTTTGATGGTTCTTTAAAAAAGGAAGCCGTGACTAAGTACCAATTTAGAAAATCCATAAAGTTAGTTGCTATACATATTAGAAAGACACCTAAGACTTGATTTAACCATCTATTATTCTTCCATCATTCCTGTCTAAAGTAATTATTGCATAAGATTACTGGGTTCAATTTTAGAACTTCTAACCTCACTGAAACATAGGAATTCTAAGGATGGATTAAAAAACTGAAAAATCTATGATGATTAAGTCTATTAAAAACAAATAAAACCAATGATTTTTTGCCTAGCATTGAGCAGGCCAAGAACAAATTAAGAATAATTTTAAATTATAAAGTAAAGCAGCCAGGAATTCAATTGGCCTTTCTCTATTTACTAAAAGAGCTGAGGTACATAGTTGAATCAAAATCTTGATATGATAGATATGTATTTGATAATAATTTAATGATGCGTGTATGAGCTAGTTTTTCTAGAAGGCTGTCAATCATCTTCCCCATGTAAAGAATAAAGACTTTGTTAGTAGGTTTAATCTGATTTACTTACAATGGGGTAGCATACTTTTTCATGCATTGCTTCATTTTTCCTTCATTCTTTGTTAAGCTTATCTTTAACAGGTATAAGTCTAGTGTTTTAGGCACTGAAGATAGAAAAGCCATCTTGCCTTCACAAAAATCGAAAGATTTCAAGATATTTTTAGTCTCACTATTTTGCTTCACTATTCATCTTCTCTCCTCTCATTCTAATATGGAAATATTTTGACTGTTTGATAGCATGTATTTCCAGTTTTGAAATGAATGTGTCTATTTGAACTTGCTAATCACAAATTAAACATTATGGTTCAAATAAGCAAATGTGTGGCTGCAAACTAGTTACATGATACTCCAAGTTGCTGAAATTTTCCAAGGCTTAATTGCATAGGAAAAAAAAAAAGATACCTTATAGGGTTGATGGAATATATTGAATAATATCGGAAAAGTGCTTAACACAGTTTTTGAAAAATAAATGCTTATAGATACATTTTGCGATAGATTCAGAGTTTTTTTAAAAACTTTTTTCTGTCCCAGCTCACCTGAAAGATTTGAATCTCTCCTTTAAATAAAAGCTCATTGTCAGTTTACACACTATCAGCCTCAGTGTTCAGTAGCACTCTAGGATAAGTGATAACTTCATCATCACATTTCATAATTCTTTCTCTTTTATGCATTCTATGCAACTGGTACCAATACTTTAAATTTGAAGTATCCCTCTGTCTTGTCTCTCCTATCCTTCCATCCAAGATTTTATCACCTTCCCTTGGAAAGGAGAGGTCTAACAGACCCCTTAACTAGGTCTTCTTTGACTGACTTGTCTTATCCCTCTTCATCCTGTGACTAGGGGACAAATCTCATTGTCTTTCTGCTGTTTCTCCACCGAAGTTCTTCTTTGGAATCAGTCTTACATTATGTTCTTCTAACTACTTTCTGGCCTCCCATGCTTATTTGTTGTTTGAAAATGCAACATATTCTGTTAATATTCCTTTTATCAAAATAAATGAAAATGAACAAGAGTGTGCCACCACGTTTTGCCATGGTTCAATCCTATTTCCAGATTTTTGAAGCTATGAATTAAATTTCTATACTTTTCTGTACCCCTGCTTAAGTAGACAGGGACAGAAAGTATGTTTATGTAAGTTTTAAAATATTAACAGTACGTTAGAAAGATCTTTAAACTTTCTGAAGTCCTCTTCTCTGTGTCATTTCACCTGACTGCTACAAAATTCATTTTAAATAGGAGAGGACTTTCTAGTTCATTGAGAAAATAATAATGAAGCTGAGTTTCCAAAAGGTTAAAGAGTTATCCTACAGAATTACCTTGAGGAAGCTAAAGTATCAGAACTCTAGCTCTACTCTTTTGGTGCCAAGTTTAATGCTCTTTTAAGGTAAAATCATTCAGTAGGAGCTAATGTACTGTATGTACAAAAATGAAACCATCTTTGTTTTCTTACCCTGAAACTTCATGAGTACAAACAAACAAATTAATATACAAACTAAAGAAAGGCAAACCAGATCATTGTTAGGATCA